ATATTTTACATATATAATATATATATATATTATATATATATATATATATATATATATATTTTTAATATATATATATATATATATATAGTATATATATATATATATATATATATATATATATATATATATATATATTATATATATTATATATATATATATTATATTTATATATAATATATATCTATATATGTATATATATGTATATATATATATATATATAATATAATAATTATATATATATATATATATATATATTTAGATATAGATATATAGATATGTATATATAGAGAGAGAGATAGGGAGAGAGATAGATAGATAGATAGATAGATATACATATACATATGGATAGATTGATAGAAAGATATATAAATCTTATATATATGATAGATAGATCAGAATATTATATATATATTATATATATATAATATATAAATATATATATATATATATATATATATAAATAGATAGATAGATAGATACTTAGTTATAGATATAGATATATGATATATGCACCCTTAATTTACATCTACATCCATATATTTACCAGAGATAGTACATTTTAACTGTTCCACACTCTTAACTGAAGGCATTAAGCAATACAGGTAGACTTTTTCTTTGTGACAAATGCTGCACACTCGCTTTCCAACCAAATTGTATTTTTTGGCTACATTGCAAATTTCTAATGCTCCCAATTTCATTACAGACATGGATGAGACTTTCCCTGCTGGCGAATACAGGTTCCCTTTCGCCTTCCAGATCCCAAAGGATATTCCATCTTCCTTTGAGTCCATTACTGGCAAAGTGCGGTACCAGGTCAAGGCTGTGGCTGACAGGCCATGGCATATGGATAACTCATCCACAGCAGTCTTTTCAGTCAACCACCTCTATGATCTCAGTTCTGACAGCAATGCAAGGGTAATTTTTTTTGTGTGTGTGTATGTGTTTGTCTTTGTCTTTGTCTTTGTATTTGTTATTGAGGAATGTGTGTGTAAAGGATTAATATATTATCCTTTCCCCCCATATTTTCTTTTTCTCTTTTCTTTTGATGGGATGGGGGAGGTTTGTTCATCTCGTAATTGAAGCCTGTGCACTTGTAAGTTTACATATATGGATTGTGAAATACTTTACCTGGCTCAGGTACAGCTATCAGCTGGATCAGTTCTATCAACAATTCCCAATGGTCTAAGAGAGAACCTGTTACAAAAGACATCAAGAAGTGACTTTAATGCACTGAAAAAAGTCTGGGTTTTACTGCCATGGAACAGAACTGGTAGTATTAGGACCTTTAGGAAAATGGAAAATTTTTAAAAATTAGTCTTTAAAAAGCTTACTGTATTTATTAATTTTTTTTTTATTAATTTCTTTAAAGTTTACAGTTATTTTCTTTCATGTTATGTTTTCCCTTCTCTCTATCTCCCTGTTCAATCCCAAACAGCTTGCAATAGCCCAGGAACGAGAAAAATCCATTACTTGCTGCAGTACCCGATGGGGACCCATCTCTCTAACACTTGCAGTAGAGAGAAGAGGCTATGTTGGAGGGGAAAATATGATCATCAACGGGGAGATTGTGAACAACAGTGGGTCCACCATTAAGTATACTGAGGCCAAAATTGTGCAGGTTGGTGTCATTTGTATACTGTGTTGGTGAACTTGTTCAAACAAATGGCATTGATAAAAAAAAGCACACCCACATTTGCTCATCCTAAAGATCGTCATGAAAAATAGCAAAATCAGTCAGTATACTTTCTGAAAATGGCTTGTTTAAAGATAACTACTTAAGGTAGCATGATTTTTTTTCCCTTTGTAAAGGATAAAAATGCCTTGATCATTTGAGCTTTATTTTTTTTACTTCCTTCTGTGGAAGCCCCAAGGCAGGCAGCACCCCTCTGAAATATGAAAAATTTGGGGAGTTTGTTTATAGGCGTTGGGACATTTTTAACAGTCTTGTTTGAAATCTGAATATTGTGGCTAAGAGAGATATTCAACACCTCCAAAGAGTTGTTTTCAGATTTTTGAATGTCCACTTAGTGTTAGGTGCATTTTTTTAAAAAAGAAAATAAAAGTTTAGGGAAAATTAAAGAATAAAGATTCAGAAAATATTAATTAAAAGAAAAATTACAAACTTAGTCTTCTGAAGTATTGCTGAATTCTTTTCCATAAGAAAGTTTCCATTAAAGTTTCGATCAGAGGGATGGGCTTACCCCATTAATGATTTTTTTTTTTAATAAAAAAGTCAATTTGAAGTTTGGAGACTTTTATTATGATTTTTGTTATTCATTTTCAGTATTTCCTCAAATATACTAATGTTATAGATCAAGAGCAAGCTAAATATATCTACTTTTTGTGCATCTTGTCAAAATAAAATGGTTTCCACTATATCAAAGACAATGTAAGAACTTGTTTCCAAAATTGCTATTTTTCCAATATTTCACATACTGAAAGTCAAACTTGGATTTTTAAAAATTCAAATTACATCATATATGCATAAAACTGAGCTTAGCTTGTTTGCATCCATGCTGACATACATTCATACATACTTTTTCATGTTATTATTTTTCTTTTTAAAAAATTATTTTATTAGACAAATTTTAATCTAAATATTTAGATTGTTTTTCTCTCTGTTCTCCTTTCTTTCATTTCATAAGCCCCAGAAGAAGGTTCTAGACAACTGTGATTCTTTCAGAACATCAGCTACATCACCAGTTCCAAAACGAAGACAGGAAGTCGCACGGTGCAGCGTGTCTATCGCCCACAGATTCAGACCGGGAGTACTGACGAGTGGTTAGGTGTCCCTCTCCCAGTGCCTGCAGTCACAGCTAGCCATCTCATGCACTGTAACATCATTGACGTGGAGTATTACTTGATTGTAAATCCCAACATAATTGGCAATGGAGGTTGAGGAAGAAAGAGTGGAAGTGAGAAGGGGAACAGGCAGAAGGAGAGGGAGGTAGAGATGGAGGGATGGAGGGATGGAGGGATGGATGGAGGGAGGGATGGGAGAGAGAGATGGGAGAGAGAGAGAGAGGCATGGATTAATTTTAGAACCCATGAGGAGTTTGGTTTGGCTTGGGATTGGAGCTAATGGCTTTACACATGCACACCATAGAGTGAGTGAGTGAGAGTGAGAGACTGAGACAGGGAAACATGGCAAGGGAGAGAAAGAGAACAGGATTGAGACTAGGAGCATGCTGAAGGAGAGGGAGATAGAGGAAAAAGAAAAATTGTCTGGAGTTTGAATAGAAGGAGAAAAAATTGGAAGAGTTGGAAAGGAAAAAGAGTAAGAGACAGAACATGAACAAGAGGTTGAGACCTTATCATGATATTATTTCTGATGATATATGATGGTCTTTATTTTGTTGTGGGAGTGAATATAGCAAAATAGAACAAGGTAGAATTAATATGTTATCCATTTATTTGTTCTTCTAGTTTCAGGCTAAACTCGGGACGTTCAGAACAGCAAAGATTCAAGAGAGTATCATCATAGGGTCTGTCCCACTGCCAGGTACTATTGTTGCTCCCGACACATCTATTGAGGAGGGTGGAACAGTCCTGGCTAGCGCCATAAGCCATGAAAACTCCCCAAGTTTTGTGCAGTCTCGTCGGCCAGGTCGAGGTGGTGATAATCCTCCTCCATACAACAGGATCATCATGCCTGACCAGTATGCGAATGTCCGTAAGTGTTGGTCATGTGTTTTTACCTCTGCTATTTATGAAAATACATATATATAGATATAATAATTGTCATTTTGATGGAGAATAGAGAAGCAGGGAGATAAAGGCAGAGAGATGATTGATCAACTCTAGAGAGGCAGAAACAATGAATGATGGTGGGGTTTACAGGCAGTTGCTAATATTTTGGCAATGTTTCACTGGATTAGTCAGGCCAGGCTCTCTCTCTTTCTTTCTTTCATCTATCTTTCTTTCTATCTTTCTTTCCATCTCTATTTTTATCTTTCTTTTTATCTTTCTTT